TTGTTTTCTTCTATTTTTTTTTTAAGGAATTTTACAAAAATTTATTTTGAGCAATACAAACGAATCAAGTTCAACCTTTCCGACTAAAACAAACCAATGTATTTGAAATTTCAAAAATTAGATACTTATCATATAAGGATAATTTTAGAAACCATTAGCCAATTTTGGCGAATGACTTATTATTCTTGAATCCTTGGAAAATTATATGGCACTTTTTACTTTGACACCCACTGAATTAAAAACGGGGTGGATTGGGTTTTTTTCTAAATAGTTTTCCATTATTTAGTTTTTTATATAATTTTTGGATTTTCCCTTTACAAATAATAGTAATAGTTTAATGGTATGTGGACCTTGATTTTCCTTCATATTTTTAAAATATTCTAGAGCATATTATTTTTCTTTTAAAGTATTCCCCTGAATTCTAGGCCCGGGATTGTATTGAAAATGAAAATAATATTTTTACATCTTTTTATATTGTGCTACAGAATAATAAATAAAATATATATACATACGTATATATGTATACATATACAGAAAATTTAAAATAAGTGATGCCAAATCTATTTAAGATTTTCAGTTTTGATTATTAAACTTTTTCTTTACATTAAAAAAAGATCATTCAATTAATACAAACCTATATTTCTATTGCTTTTTTTTTTTTGCAACAGCAGTAGGGGTGGGGCTTAAAAGATGGGGAGGGAGTAAGGGGATTAAAACTCAGGACCTCTAATTTCTGAAATTTCAACCTATATTTTTCATCGTTTGACTGATGAAAAACATATATTTTTGGTCATTAACTGATACAAATGTGGACTTTGTGGTCCAAAGTATAAGTTCATTTTGGCAAAAAGAAAACATTTGTCACCAAAATATGACATTTTAACTAACATATTAATCATTCTATTATTTACTCAAACTAAAATTGGTGACTTTATCTGGGAGAGGGTTGACGTGGGTGGCAAGGGAGGAGGGAGTGTAAATAGGGGGTTTTGGATTCAATATCTCCCACTTACACAGAAGAACAAAAATTCAAAATAAAAAAAAAAAAAAATTGGCCATTTTACCTTATATCTTATGTATTCCATGAGGAACAAAATTACAATTCTCAACAATTATAACTTTAGCTTACATCTAGTTTTGCCCAACATAAAATAATCTTTTTCAAGCCAAAAATATTAATTGCAAAACATCGAGCAGTTTACACACTGAAATAAGTGATGCATGACATGCTAAAAAAATTGTAATCTATGATGATTTACATAACAGAAGGATTGTTAAATATAGTGAATGAGAGGGTTAGGTTGGACGGGAAGATTATAAATAGTTTTTAAAAAATGTATCGATATCCGACAGATTATATTAAGAAATACCCATCTACCAGTACTTCCACTGTTATAAAAATTTATAACTAATTTGATGATTGCATTTCTTGACAAACAAGTGTAAGTGGTATGTCGTGGCCATAAAATTGTTGACTGCGAATATTTACGGTTGCCGTTCCGATAAAATTTTTAAATTTTATTATGATAGATAAAGTTAAATGTACGAGGTCGCAGCGACATGAATTTAGAGGTTAAGTATAAGCGGAGGAGGGAGGGAACAAAATTGTGAGAAGTTGAAGAGTGATAGGAAAGATTGCCAAAAAAGTATGGGTTACAGGGATTGATGGAAACGGGAATAAAAAATAAAGGGGATTGAAGGGATACGATATAGATGATTGTGATTTTGAATATTCGTAAAAAGTCTAAAAACACATATTGCGGAGATTTTTTTAAAATACGACGTTAAAATTTGTAAAAAATGGTAAAGTATAGGAGAATGATTTTTTTAAAAAAAATGGAACAAAATTAACTGGTTGAGAACTTGAGATCCTTGTTTTTTATTATACGTTTTTTATATATGGACCTTAACATCATATGTTCTGTCCAATATTGATGCATTGAATTATTTAAGAAACGCTTTTCATCTTACCACCCATGCTAACTGTCTCTTTAAATGCTTTAAAAATTCTGTTACCATGTACATGATTCTAGATTACTTTTTTCCCGAAATATTAAGCATCTCTTCTTCAAAAAGTGTTAGTATAGATATGTTTATTATTTTGTACCACAATATCTACCTATTATATAAGAAGAAAGTGGAGTTACTATAGCAACTCCAATGATTGTCAAGTGGATCTCTCTCATTTTGACACGTGGCCCATTCCTTTTCTTTTCTTCATTTTGCTTAGTTTTTTCTTTTGTTCGCTTTATTTCCTTTCTCTTTTTTGATTGCAGATAAAGGTAATTAAACAAATTCTCACGTGCACTACATGTTTCTTATATAGTTTCTACTTTGTACTCCGTTTTTTCCCCTATCATCCTAATCATTTATTCAATTTTTTTCTCTATTGGATTAGTTGATGCACTTTCTTTCATTTCCCCCATAATTAACTAAATGAATGATTTCATTTAAGGAGATCAAGAATGGGTTTGAAATTTCCTTTCTTCCATAGTCCAAAAATTATGATTCATAATCTTCTACGTTTAATGTCTCTTTTTGGTATATACTATTTGATATTTTTTTTGTCATTTTTTGCGTCTTGATCAGCAACCTTTGCTTATTGCTTTTGTCACCTATTTCTTCTTCATCTAACTTTCTTTTCTGCCCAAAAGAGGTATGTGATGCTGTGAATATTTTCCCCGAATGTAAAGAAACATTTTTTTAGTTTTTTATATTTTATTTATGGCCACACTACTTTTTGATATTTTTATTTTTGGAAAAAATAAACTAAGGTTGACAACAGGACGAGTGGTGATTACATGAAAAATTTTTACGCTAACAATGAAAGAATTGTTAGAGGTATCAAAAAGAGTGATTTGGGCAGATTCATTCTATTTCTAATTTTTTTATTAAAATTGTTATTTGATAATAGGGTGATAGTACTACAATAGAGGAGAAAAAAATCTAATAAATGAAAATCCAAGGTAAACGATGATGAGGAAGAAAAAAATTATGCTTATTAAATTAAAAATTAACCCAATCTCTTAATTGATGGATAGGTAATTATATTTTAATTTATATAAAGTTTATTAATTGTGAAAAATGCTTACAAACTGGGGTTACTCTGGATGACGTGTAAAATATTTGTTGGGGCTAGCAATTTAGAATGTGAACATAATATTTTATATCTCTTCATTCAACATTTTGAATGACTAGCTTGTATCCATGATAGGTAGTTTATTTTCATGGTTTTAATTTTAGCAAATGATAGCTTGGAAATAAAAGAAGTGCAAAATTAGAGTTCAAAATCTTTAACTTAAACTGGTTCTATATGACTTACTCTTATCCTTTTTTATTGCCCATAATGATAGATAATGTAATTAGAGTTTGAGATGATTGTTAGACAACTTCAAATGGACATGTCATTACTATTTGGCTAAAGAAGTTAATAATATTTTGTTGATTTGACTAGCTAAAACAATTGCAGTTTTCAAAGGAATGCATTTGGTGGTGGAAGTTAGTATTGAGGCTTTTAGCTTAGAGTGTCACTATACAAAATATTATTAGAAAATTCTATTTTCATTAAGAAGACATATTTGCAATCAAACAAATTGTTGAATTTGAATTTGCATATGTAGATTTACAAATATGGCAATTCATGTTTTTATTTAAACTTGCTATACATATTCTATAACTATTTGGTTAGATAATGTTTTCATCTATTTGTAATGCTATTAGACATGATTTAAATGGATAGATTAACTCGCTATTTCTCTCAAAAAAGAAAGAAAAATATGCAAGTTTGTATTTTTTTTATTGATGTTGAAGCTAGTCACAGGTTTTTGTGGCTTTCTATATTTTTTCTAATTATTAAAATTTCTAAAACATTATGACTACTGCTTATTTAATTACAACTAAAACTATGCTGCTCTTAAACCGATAATGCATTCATAATGGATTTGCTTTGTTTTCTTTTTTGGTATCATTACGTACACATAATGTTGGTTAAAAATTCTTTTTCCAAATCACAATAAATTGGGGTTAACTTTATATATGAAAATTCTTTTCACAGCAAATTTTAATTGTTTTATATTTAATATTTTTCCTATATTTCTATTCATTGTGCACTAAAACTGCCGGTGCTATGTATTTAACTAATGTTCTAGAGGGCCCTGGCTGTGCGTTGCACAGCCCGTGTCAACATAGTGTCATTGTAGTTCTGGCAACCCGTATGCGTTTATCGTCCAGACCATCCATTACGGGTGCTTTTCAATTTTAGCTGTTAAGGTCTTGGGGTTGCGGTTTGTGTTTTTAAATTCAAATTTTTTCATGGCAATCTAATCCAATTTCCCCCTTGCTATAATGAAACGTTCGGAGACATTTCATTGCTTACGACGCGCAGGTTGGCCACCCGCCACAATACTGTTTCCTTAGTCGTCCAAGTAAAACTGAGAAGGGTATGTATGTCAAGGCCAATGAAAACATGCATAGCACACGCGCCGACCGTCACTGTAACACATATTTCCCAATTTACAACCCTAATTAGCAGGTACAAGCCCATTGCACGCCCAACATGGCCACAGCCGTCCAAAATGTCTAACTATTCAAATTTCTCGCGAAGAAAGACGCCTACGCACCTACAAGGCTGCAACACTTAACGGCAAAGCTGTTCATAATCGCGGGTGGGGCGACAGGGATTTTGTGATAGGCTGCGCCGTCACAATATTCGTCTAAAATTCAACTCTAAAAAAGCCGTGCGATGGGCAGGCTCCATCGCTACCGGCCACCGCCTGATGAAGAACACTCGCAAGAACTGCTGGTTGATCGAAAAACCCACATATCACACATTTTCCTTGCACAGGGGGTACATGTTGCAGAATCAATGTCGACAATTACTTGTGCTTATTTTGCCCTAAGCCCTCATTTGGTTTATACTTATATATAACTGGCTGAATTGGTTCTACATTAATGCACAGGAAGTCTATTCAATTTATCCTAGAGGGTCGTCAGTCGAACTTATGGAGTGGTGGAAGAGGCTGCCTCGTAAGGTGGCCGCGAAAGTTGTTATTGCTGGGTTTGGGGATTTTCTGACCCACTTGCCCGTGGCCGATAGAGATAGGAAGTTGCCTGTCGCACTTGTGGAGCGATGGTGGGACTCAACAAACTCCTTCCACTTGCCTTTCGGAGAGATGACACTGACACCCTTGGACTTCACCTGTATAACCGGTGTTGCAGTGGGCGGGTTGCCCATTCCGTGGGATTACAATGTTAGGGAAAATGCCAATTACATCAAGGAGCAATTGGGTTGGGTGCCAGCTTTTGCTTCTGCCGGTGCCATCAGAGTTACCGATATATTTTCATTCTACAAAGACAAGGCGATTGACGAGAACGACGACGTCCAGCTGGCACATCTAACTAGAGCTTTCTTTCTCTACATGCTTGGCCGCACTTTACTTAGCAACACGGCCGAAACAATTCACCTGTGCTGTCTGCCTGCGCTGGAGGACGTAGATCGTATAGTGGATTTTAACTGGGGAGGGGCGGGGATGGCAACCTTGTACAGATTTATGTCCGCCGTCTCCCGACGTCGGACGAAAAGCCTTGGCGGCTACAGCTTCATTTGGGAGGTAAGTCCAGAATTGCCTTCACTCTGTGTCAATTCGACATTACCATGTTCCGTTAAATAAACTTTTCATGCAGTTAGTGTTCATCTCGAACGTTGGACATAATTTGTACAACCACGTGTAGGTGTGGGCCTATGAAATTCTTCAGTTAAGTCCGTATAAACTGAAACAGGACGAGAGGGACGTATTGCCCAAAATGTGGCGATGGCGCTCATGTAATAGAGCCAGCCGACAATCACCGTCTACGGTCGAACATTTTCGCCGCGCAATTGACACCATTAACCAGGAAAACGTTAGTTCCCGTACTTAGGACATCCTATAGTTTCTACCGCCTAAGTGTTAACAGTTGTTATGAATTTGTTCCGCCTGTTGAACAAACCAATGTTACATCGCTTGTTAATTATGTGTCATAGCTCAACTGGCTGCCCTTCCCTGCAATGACATTGCCGAGTCGGTATCTCAAATCCAAGGAACTAACTGCAACGAGATTGCTTTTGGATGGCCCCATGGGACGATTTTACTACCTAGGTGAGAGGGTTATTAGGCAGGTGTATGCAGGTGTATGTGCAAAGCAACCTCCCCATCGGCCATCAGATATGTACAACACTGATACAATTTCGGGAAACACGCTACATGATGTGCTTGATGGACTGCCCATTGTAAGCCTATACCCAGATCCCCCTCCATATGCTACGTATGACGAGTTTGTGCGCAGGCTAATGAAACCAATGACTTCCTCCACGTTGCCACCCAGTGGGAAGGAGTGTGTAATTCATATATGTGACCAGTTGCCACTAAGTGAGACTACAACACCGTCACTGAAACATCCAATTAATTACCCTCCCTGGTCTGTGTTGTGCATACAAACTGATGGATCACTGCAGCAAGAGGGCATTCACAGAGTTGGTGGCGATGTAATAGGGTTGCCTCTTCCATGTGCTGTTGGTGATGTGGTATGGCATTCTTCGCCCTGTACTTCACTCGGCATTTAATTTTAGCAATTTGTGTAAAATTAATACAGCCATCTGTGTTGTTTCCGCTTAGGTGCCTAGACACTGGTACGAGGACCTGCTTGTTCAGTGCATGGGCCTCAGAAAGAAAGTCTTAGAAAAAAGTGCAGAAATATTTCGTTTGGCATCCAATGGGTCGGACAACTCACAAGTGGTGGACCAAAGGCTACATCAAATACAGGTAATTTTGGAAAGTGCATTGAAGCTCCAAAAGGGGGCAGGGAAACGCTGCCTTCGCGGTGGAATTGGTGCCCGGGAATCCTGTGTTTCTAAGCGTCCGAACACAAGTGCCGGGACGGAGACATTTACGGATGACCTTGATAGAGGCAAAGCTCACGAATGTCAGGGAATTCATAATGCCAAAGACTGAACACCCATGACCCATAACCGCAAACAAGGTTGTGTAGCCGGAGGAATGAGCATGCAAACTAGTTGGGAGTCCCCACCAACAAAGCCGAGCTGTGAGCAATCGCCACGTCTGTTGTGTACTTCTGATACAATTTTAAACTTGAACACCCAACACGGAAAATGTTAACAATTGACAGATAATTGGTAACGTTGAACTTGTTTCTCTAAATTTGTACCGTTTAACTGCTTTGATAGAAAATTTGTTACCGTCAATTTCCCACAACTAATTTATAGTCCTGTTCTTATTTTTCGTCTGTCCCAGATTGTTCTTCACCTGCAATTGAAGTTTGCAGTGAAATTAAATATTTACAACAAAACAATTTAAATGCAAGTTGTTGTTACTATAAATCTATTAACTAGATTTATAGTTAATGCATTACATTTTTCGAACTTATTTATATCATGACAGAAAAGCCTTTTGTATGAATGCAACTCCAACACAAGAATATGAGTTCAAGTTTCCACACAGTTGTACAGTAATTAGTGTGAGGGAGGCTGACGAAGCATTGCTACCTAAGTGGATTGTTCCAACAGGGTATACCAATTTTGGTTAAACTATGTCACCATAAAAAACCTATGTATCAAAGTTGTTCGGATGGAGTTTCAGTAAACATGTGGAATTTTTTCTACAGTTCATAGCAATTTAGATTACGGACATGACGCGGACATTGCATAATTGTTATAATTAAAAAGAAATTCATTAATCGTGTGCAAACAAGTTACATAAAATAGTAAACTCCAATGGAAATGTACAAATGCTGTAAAAAAAATTAATCGTAATTGATAGTTATTGACTAATTAAATATATTAGTACAAATGTATTCTTAAAGTTACTCGAACTAATTAATAATTTCTATTAGTAAATATATATAATTATTAGTATAATTCATAATATTAATTATATTGCATAAATTAATATACATATATAATACATATAACTAATAATACCATTGTTATTGGTGCACTGAAGAGACGCATAAGCATTGTGAGCAATGAAAATAGATGGGAAGAAACAAAAGTTACTGTTCCTACACCTGAATGGAACGATGGGCAAAATAAAAGGCGTTGGGCCTTACGGTCATTCGTTAGGATAGCAAGGAGACGAACAAACAGCCCATATCGTAAAAGCAGTTTATAGCAGCAGCGTAAGGCACCAGTTTACAAAACCTGGGCAACTGAAGCTGATTCCCAAGTAGCCACTTCGGAAAACGTCTATCCCACGAAGAGATTTTGCGCAACATACGCTTCCACTTAATTTCCTATTTACAAAAAAGGACCGTAACAAGTTTGGTTCCTCTAATACACAATTTGTCAACTATTTACTCTCCTATTAACCAAGTGCAGTAGCACTATTTGCTACAACAGTGCTGACGACGCAACCATGACAGTTATGCATCTTGTCATCCTTCTGTGCATGACCCCTTCGGTGGAACTACAGTGACTTAACCATCTAGACCTAGCAACCTTCAATACTCTTGCACCTCTACTCACCAAAATCTGCCTTATTTATTGCGTAACTGCAAACCGAAGCATCACAACAGTTGTGCCTCATCTTTCTCCTGGACTTCTTTGTTGGTCACCTGTGTCCCTTCCACCGCTACCGCATGGTTGTGCTACAAATGCTTGTCCTCTCCATTCGCCTGAGTCGCTCCACCCCGTACCAATTTCAAATGATTTTTTCAGCGAGTCATCCAAACAATTTTCCATATGATCATCATGAACTGCTGTATTGTGCGAATTCTTTTTGTATGGGCATGTTCGTTGGTTGTGGTCTGCCTGCAATCTTCATCCCATATATCACATGTCAAATCATTTGTGACTGCAAGTAACCACGTCAACTAAGTACAATGCTAACATTACACCACTTCAACTTTCTTGCACTGCCAATAACTTTGTATACTTTGTATGCACTTTCAATTATGTGTTTATTTGCTACTGTTGAAAAATACCCACTTCTTCATTATTACCTTCACTGTCCACTTCATGTATTTTATCAATTAACTACTGTATAACTACGTATGCATTTCCGATTGTACCTGCAATGACCACACTTTCTTTTCTTCTTTACTTCTGCATGCTTGTGATCACATTTAGACCGGGACATCCTGGGATCTAATAGCCCGAATGTTCTTCTACTTCTATCGTTCATCACTCTTGAATCCATTGCAAATCCGTCTCCCCCATATCCCCTTTCAATCCACTTCTCCTTTAGGTCCACAGAATGCTTGTCAAACATCTGCTGCAGGTCATTAAACACATCATCCATGTATGACGCATAGTAACACATAGTATTACAGCTGGACTTTAAAGTGTCATATCTGGCCATTTGTGTCAGCTGTTCGTCTGCAACAAATGCTTTCATTCCATTATTAGTACTGTAAACTCCTTTTGTCCACCGCTTCGAAATGCATGCTTCTGGGATCCTGTTCATTCCTTCTACCACCATCACGCGAAACATGTGAGCACAAGGAATCCCCTTTGACTCGAATTTCATGCAAGAGCAGATTAGCTTCTCCATTGACCTATCATAATCCACCCTCCAACTTATTTCGTGTCCACCATATTTCGAGTAATAATATGTACGACTCCCTCCATCCTCGCTCCAGCCCTCAGAAATTAGAAATCCTTGCCTGTTCAAATGCTTCCTCACCATGAAGAACACATTCCTTGTAAACACCTCCGCTGCGCACCCCTCTAATTCGGGCAGGATTGTGGTTAAGACTGGTTTTGTGTTTTCGCTTGTGTGAACTGCTTTGCTCTCAGTATGTCGAAGCCATGCTATTGCCAAATCAAAACTTCTAACGAATTCATATAGTCGCATTTTTTCATTCAAGTACTCATTCAAAAAAGCATTCATTTTCTCACACCTTTGAGTACTTCTCATACCTGTAAAAAAATGACCGCGTAAATAGGCCTCTGCCCATAACCTTCTCCTACGGTACAACTTCTTCACCCACTCATTCTCTACCACCCCACATTCATTAACTAACCTAGCCCACCGATCCTCAAACTCAAGAGTGCTAAACTTTCTCGCCATCAGGTCATACAACCTGTTATTAAACTCCTCGCAGCGAATATTACTCCGTGCATTTCTATGCAAGTGCCACGAACATAGTCTGTGACAAGCATCCGGGAGAAGATTCTTTATCGCTCTTCGCATTGCACTATCCCCATCTGTCATCACTGCTACTGGCTTTCTACCTTTCATAGCCTCTACAAATGTACTTAGCACCCATTCATATGTTTCAATCCTCTCATCTGATAGCAGTGCACAGCCAAAAACAGTACTGTTCAAATGGTTGTTTACCCCTGCAAGTACAACTAGTGGCTTGCGGTATTTATTTGTTTTGTATGTTGTATCAAACACCAATACATCTCCAAATACACTGAAGTCCACACGAGATTTAGAATCTGCCCAAAACAACCTTGTCAATATTCCTTCGTTATCTACATGATATTTATAAAAGAACATGTCATCGGCATCCTTCTTCGCTGCCAAGAACCCAAGTGCCCCTTCTGCATCGCCATTAAAAATATCTTTTCTACGTTCCTCATCCATTCGGTTATACAGATCCTTAATGCAAAATCCCACGTTACTATACCCTCCGGCTTTGATAACAAAATGTTTCATTATCTGGCATATTCTGGCCCCAACCAACTTTAGACTTTTTGCCTGCGCATATTCTGCATCGCTCACTTTTCTATGCGACCTAATATGTTGCACACTTGCCTCTGATGGCAGCGGGTGATTGTGCTCTATAATAAAACGTGTCACCACATATTTTACCGATTCTATGTCATATTTCACGCGAAAGCAAGCCCCACACCCGGTCCTTGTGATTGCTTTTGCTTCTCTTTTCCAGTCTTCATAATTAAACCACTTTTCATTCCTATAACCTTCACAACAACATACCCATTTTCTAAATCTTGAAATGCTATCTGCATCTCGTTTGGCATTACTTTTACGAATCCCAAATCCGCTTAGTTTCGCATACAAATTATAGAATTCCCCAGCTTCTTCTTCCGTGTCAAATGTTAATTTCATTACGTCATCCACGCCTATTGCGCCCACCAATTCATCTGCCTCCTCATCTTCGTGTCCTCCTATTGAACCACCGCTTTCTTCACTGCATGTGTCTCGGTCACACTCAGGTTCTTGGTTAAGGTCAAATGACATTAACTTGCCGCAACCATCCATCCCCATTTTTCCGTTCTCTGTTTCCTGCACCATGTCATGAGTTTTAAGCACCCCATCCTGCCCCATAGTTACAACCCCTGTGTGGTTGTTCAATGCTTTTTCTAACCATGGTCGCTTAACATTTTTTTTTCAGCCTCCCCATATGCTTTCGTTTGTAACATAAATACT